AGAATTGGAAAACGTCCTTACTGTTATTACGGAGATCAATACAAGAAGAAGACCCGGCTGGCCCTGGCTGAATTTCTTAATCCTTTTAACTAGAGTATTTTACGTCCCATTACGCTGTACATGTATATGGTTTTGGCTCTGGCTGAATCCTTTAATCTTTTAACCCTGCGACGAAGCACTGTTCAGTTACGTCGGTGTAGGGCCTACATGACTGTATACTGTTTCACAAATTCAAGCATAGCGGGGCGTTACTGGCTATCTTCATTGTGGAGTAAATGTAAAATACATCATTATTTAAAAATTATGAATTCTTGTGGGCGGTATGACGTAAGTTCGGATTTTTAACAAGTAGCAAAGGGGCAAATTTACCTCTTGTGCTATGGAAAAAAAAGTTCCCGGCCTACCGGCCGGGAACTTTTTTTGACCCGAGAATTATTACTTGATAGTCATACGGGTCAGTAAGAACACAAAACAAATTCAGTGGACTTCACATACTGGTTTCAGTACTGTTTTTATTTCCCGTTGTTAACCATTGATTTTTTTACAACAATTATTATCGCAAATTTAAGAATTACTTAATCAGAATCAGAAACTAGCATGGCAATATATCAAGGTGTTTGTCTTTGGAATTCTACTCTCGAGGGACAACTACAAAACCATCATCAGGATATACTGCAATTAGAATTCCACATGAACGCCAGTGCGATACCAAAGGTTTCAGCATTTTTTTTTAAATATAAGGAGCCGAGGACAAGACAAACTGGGGAACCGTACATACAAACTTTGTTTCACCATCTCTAAATATTTCTGATGTTGGGGAGCAATTTGGATATGACGGTACCCAGATTTTAGATTGAATGAGAACAATATAGGGAAAGGTACTGTCAACCAGTTTTCCAATCGTCTATTTTGAAATGCTCCGTTCGAACAAATTTATTTAAAGCGCTAAAATCCAAAATTAATCTCTAATCTTGCTTTCGTTCTGACAAGATACTGATAATGAACTGGTTACATAAAAAAGGGATGATTCTTTTCTACAATTTTCTCCGACGCCAGTAACTGAAGCACTGTTGTTTGGGAAACAAACTCGTTATTTCGCAATGCAGAAGCATTGTTACGCAAAAACATGGATGGAGGGCGTTCGTTGAACGGTATAAAATAACCTTTGTTAATAATGGAAATGATCATGTCATGAGCACCAATCTCGTGCCAAAACTCAGTGTGGGATTTTAATCTTCCTTCAACAAAAATGTCATCGGTAACCAACATCGGGCATATGCCTTTGCAATGTACATTGTACCTAGATGGTATCAGCAAAAATGTTCCTGGCTGGAGAGCGATTGTATCTGCGGAGCCCCTGGACAACTGGGCGGTTGTGCTGGCGACGGCTTCAAGGTAGCAGAGGAATGGGTGGGATTGGCACCCGGGAATTGGGGCACCGCTTACTGGGAAGGCTAAGAGGGGACATATCGGGTACCATTGGGTTGAAACTTTGCTGATAGCTAGAAAGGGCGGGGTTATAGACGAAAAATGACCCCATATGATGATGACGTCAATGAGTGACAAGCAACGCAGTGGCGTAGCTAAGATTTTACTAAGTGGGGGGAGGCACCAGCATCTTATGGAGGCACCAGTTTTCAGTGGCGTGTTTTTTTTTTGGGGGGGGGCAGGTTTTTTTTANTAACCTTCTTCAATATCCATTCATCTTTTTTCTTCAGTGGGGCGAACCTGGGGGGGGGGGCATGTGCCCCCAGGCCTCCCCTGTGGCTACGCCTCTGATTAGTCACGTGAAATTAAAGGTGCGCTCTTTAGAGCCCATATCTCCTTAAGTATGTGTCCCATCGGGTGAAACTTTGCAGATATTTCGTGAAGGATGTGTCACAGACAAAAACGAACTAAATGTGATGATGACCTCATTATGTGACAAGTTACGTGACATCAAACGTTCACACTTAAATGCCCTTTATTTGATGAATTTCATGTCCCATCGGGTTCAACTTTTGCAGATAGCTAGAAAAGGAAGTGTTTCAGACGAAATTTTATATCTTGTAATAGTTGAAAAGTCACCGGACATTACAGGCCCATTCTCTTTTTCCTCAAATTATTCACAGCAACTGAAAAAAAGGTGTAGGAGACTCGCGTGTCACAATGGCTGTAAACGGAAGGGATCTTTCCATGGTTCCCGAGATAACTTTCGGGTTTGTGGAGGATTACCTCAAAAATGGCTCCAAAAGCAGCGGAGAGCAACAGCTCGGTAAAGACTTCAAGTATTTTTCAGGCTTCATAAGCTAAGGGGTTTTTATCGACGGGATTTTATTTGGGAATTTTCGTTGACGCTGCATGCATGCACATTTATGTCTAGGCCTCACTATTGTCGCCACAATCGCGCAATTCGAAGACTTTTGTTGTCATTCAGCGGATTACCTTTAACGACTGGGCTATTTCCTTTCGAAGTTCAAAATTCTATAGATGCTAGTTCAAAAATTACAGATGTGTTTTCTTTATGTTGGGCGCGATAATCATAGAGGAAGGAAAAGACTGGATCGATCGAACTGCACTAAAGTTCAATAACATGTATAGGGTCAGTGATTACGATATTTTTTATACGAACATCTTAAGTGCCCGTAGAAGTTGTTTCAAAGTCAAAGTCTACCTTGAATAGTGGCCCCTCGTCTCGACTGATCTTAACAATCCACTTTTTCCGCAGGATCTTGTTCCTCGGAATAGATGGAAGCTAATTTCTGGCGGTAATCTTCGCTCGTGATTGGTACAACACGGCACTGAACAATGCTTCGCCGTGTTCGCCGACAGCAAGGAGAGCCACACAGCCTCGTTTTCACTTGCAGCGCATTAAATTTGCATAAATATTAAGAAAGGCCTAAGCCTATGTACACGGTGCATGCACATTCCGTTTTTTTGTCTGAAGTACGGCGCTCGGTACGGTACATGTAGTACATTGGGTGCAGTACGGGTAGCGCTGGGTCTGGTAGTGACGCCGTAGCGTGGATTTCGACTATCGATCTGTTGATGTTTGGGCGAAATCCTATCATACCTTTTTATAGGCAAGGTCCTGTAGAGGTTTTCAGGTGACGTAATATAACGGACAAAGGCATTTTCGAATTTTCTATTTTTTATTGGCAGTTTCGACTTTCGTGTACGTCAGAATATTGAGAGACTTCAAAAGCGCGCGCGTTTCCATGCACATCTGTGTAAATTGAACGCTGACCGTCAAAAATCACGTGACTGAAAATCCTGTGCTTGATAATCGTCCTAATTGAAATACCCCACATGCGATGCATTCGAATAGCTTCCCTGAATACACCATGGTAGTGTCACACACAAGGGAAGCCTCGAAATGAGGTTAATCGAAGTGTGCAGTGTATTTGCCAAGGCATTCTGGGAAAAAGGACAAGTTCCCGCCAGTTCAATCATGCCCATGCTCGAACAGTCCATCCGTGACGTCATTACACTCAGGCAACATCCAGAGACCTGCTCTCCAGCCGGGGTAGTGGTGGCTGACCCCAGGGAAGGCACGAAGATCATGTGATGGCTAAACAACGCTCTCGTGGAAGTTTGACTTACAAGAGAGCGTTCGTTGAGCCATCACGTGATCCTCGTGCCTGCCCTGGTGTCAGCCACTACTACCCCGGCTGGCGAGCGGGTCTCTGGAGGCTGCCCGAGTGTAATGACGTCACGGATGGACTGTTCGTGCATGGACGTACATGATGGAAAGTGGCGGTGACTTGACCTTTCTCCCAGAATGCCTTTGAAAACACACTGCAGCGTTCGATAAGCCTCATTTTGAGGCTTCCCTTGAGTGTAACACTGGTGTGTTCACGGAAGCTAATCGAACGCACCCATAGGGTGATATTTAAATTATACAATACCCCGGGTTAAATCGCGCAAGGCATGGTGGAAACCAACTTGGCCCGACAAGATTGTATCCGTTGGAACATGGTTGTATAGGGCCATCCTGTTCGCACCACGGACGTGTATAATAAAATCTGGCCTCGCAATGCCCATAATCAGCTTATAGAATCATTGAATTACTCGCGGCCATTTTACCGCGCCGAATACAAAGTTTTCCTGACAACGCCCGCCTTTGTTCTTCCTGACGTCAACTGAAGGGAGCCAACCCATGTTTTTGTATTCGGCTCGGTAAAATGGCCGCTGGTTGGCTTCTTTTTCATACAAAGGCGTTGTAAGTCCAGGTTTTTTTTATATATACGTCCGTGGTTCGAACGCTTGTGGTGCGTGCGCGCGCGTGAAATTCCTCCTTGACCTATGACCAACAGGCAGTAGCCAATCGCAGAAGTGTGTGTGCGCGCTCAGGTTCAGACAGCTGTGTGAGTGTAAATGGCCCCTAAAAATGGCGTCTCATCGGATTTTTCTCTTCAGGACAGAGGCCGTTTTCCAATACTCAACTTCGGCTCCGTCTCAGGCTTCAACTGTTTTTAACTAGCTGACGTTGAAGCTGTAAGCGCAGTAATTAGTTTAATAGCGCCACAAAACATCAAATAAGATGCAAGACAGCCAAAAATTACAGTAAAAACACCTGTTTTACATACAAAGTACAAAGACATTCCTTTGTTCTCCTGTGGTTAAGGAAACTTGAGGAAAATGCTCCTTTTTCTCCAACTTGGATAACTCCTTCAAGATGGGTTTTGACGGTGATTTCCTGGAATGTTCCTCTTCATTTTGCCACATAACCTTGACCCCAAAACGCCTCTGAAAATGTTTTTCAGGGAGGGGAAAAAAGTGTTGCGTGGACGTATGCGAGTCCACACAATGCCATCACACCCTACATTATGTGGAGTTCTTTTGTGCAGAGGTCCACACTATGTATGCCACATTTTCTTACAAAGAAATCAGTGGAAGTAATGTAGCTTACGTAAGATAAGCTTTAAAATTATGATTTAAGACCTCTCTCATTCTTATTACATGCATGACCAGCAAATGTTGATTTCTTTGTGACTCAAACATAACATTAAAGAACTGAATGTTATATTATTAAATATTTAATGGGAAGGGTGATTGAAATTCAGCACCTTTATACATTTAGATTCAATGGAATCATTTCTTGGGTCTCTGAATTTGGAAGTTCATCCACACAGAGCTGATTGCAAACCAGATTTTATTCTACTAAATTTACACGTACATGCGAGCTGCCACAATAGGCTGCACATTCTTGTATCAGCTGGTAACAGTAAATCACTACATGCGCAATAGTCAAGCTTGCGGCTGAAGTTATAGAAGTCAAAGAGAATGAAATTTTTGCAGTGCTTTTCAATTTCTACTAATGCACTTCATGAAAAATAAATGATACCTACTCAGAACACTGCATGCTTCAAGGACAGACCATGTACATATCTACATGTACGTATCAAAGTAATGAGAAATTAGAGTTTAGTCCCACTTGCCACTGTGAACAAGCATTGCCAGATTTGTACATGTCCTCTGTAAAGCTGTCACTAAAAGGCTGCTGTGGGTATACACGTCCGCTAACATTAATTAGTAAAGAGCTGACAGAATTTCTCCTTAAAATGACATTGGCCTTGCCATCCTCTGGTACCCACGGCCTGAACCTGATATTTACAACTATTATTATCCACAAGTTTACAGCTCCACAAAAAGAATATAAAGACTGTTTAAAAGACAGCAGTCTGTACATGGAGGTGTAATCAAGACGTCTTGCCATCTGTCGGTTTATCCACTCTTGGTTTGAAGGGATCACTCCATACTCTCATACCTTGAGTGCAAAACACAGAAAAAATGAATAAAAAATCTGACCACTGTGCGCTAACCTTACATACTTAGTGTAGTGTATGTAAAAAAAAAGATATAAAATATAATGTTCTGCCAACTGACTGACCTTAATTGTGACCTGCATGTCCCTGCATGTATTTTTGTATCTACAAGCCCAAGGACAGAAAACAAGCAGAGACTTTTTTCCATTTAACCTTTAAGATGTTACATCCATAATGCGTGCACATATGTATATTACATCAAGTTAATTCAATACTTACCACCTGGTTGGACGCTTTTTTGATCAATGCCCTTTCTTGTTTCTTTCTGTACATCTTCTGTGCGTAGAAATTACATCATCAAATTGTCACAATACAGGAAGCTTACATTCAAACTGACGTTCTAAGGGAAAATTCAAATGTACATGTCCATATATACATTACATTTCAACCCCCTTTAAATTTGATTCAAATGCGAAGAGCAGCATTTTCCGAAGAGGGACAACTCATTAATGTTAAATTTTTAAAACCTTTTCGAAATTTATATTATCTTCAAATATATTTTGAGAAAAGCATGTTTCAGTCTTTTAACATGTATCAATTTAAATGCTGAATTACTGGTTTTTATTAATTCAACAGCAGGGGTTCACATTTCAACTTTTTGTTCACTTGGTCTTTGGGGATTATAAATCAATTTTGGTATAAAGTACACGTAAATTTGACTGCATGTAGTTTAATGACATTAGGAAATCATATGTTTTAAGCCTTCAATTTCAATGAAATCTGTAAGAAAATAAACTACATAGGTTTTCTACTTCATGTTTGAAAAATTCATATTTCTTAGAGTCATGCCAGATTGAATGACAGTCTCCGACACAGATCTACAAGTTAGTTCATGTATTTCTGAATGAACAATACTTACGCCATTTCTTGGGATTAAAAATTGGAGAGATAACAATAGGATAGAGAGCGAGGCCAATAAAGCCAACAAAGCCAGCAATGATGAGAGAATTCCGTGCGCCAAACCGGGACAGACTTGCCATCTTTTTTTGCACTCAATCAATGAATGCACTATAAGCAAACACTCAGTCTAGTTCCATGCAGCCACATGAACACCAACTGTCGACTTCAACAAGAGAACAAAAGGGAATAAAAACAGCAAATTAGATATATTATATATTAATTACACTCATATATTTTTATGATTCATGCATAAGGGCATGGCCTTACCTTTCAGAAGTATTCATAAACCATGGAAGAATATTGACAAAACAAGGGCAATCTTGCTTTTGCACCCTGCTAGTCCAAAAATTACTCTTTTGTCCTTCAACTTCATGGAAGGAAGACTTCCCAAGTCTATAAAGGTATTGGCACACACGTATGTATGTACATGTAAAGGCTGACACACATCTTGTATTTTTAGTGAGAAGTAAAAAATAGGTTGAAACAAAAATGTACAGGTGTCCTAAAAGTAAAGATTGCCCTAGTACAAGTAAGTCTAGCCACAATGCTAATGCTCGTGATATTGGGAGATGCACAGGAACCTTGTGTATTACTATTTACCACATGAAGGCTAAACTGCAAGTCAAAGATATATGTACAGGTAGAAATTGGGTGTATTACGTTTACATTAGTTTTAGAGTGTGTTGTTTTAATGCCACAGAAAAGTATCTAGGATTGACCCAGCAGGGTGTACATATAGCAGCTAGAGATCCTTGACCCTCAAAAGGTTTGGTTTTATGTTGCATGTTGGGGCTGTGATGTTTTTTTGCCCCTCATATTTCTTGGAAATGACTAATCCCGTTGCTAAGAAACAGTCAAGGAGATCTACTTGTGTAACATAACACTGAAAACATTCAAGAAGTTAATCAGTGCAGCATCTTATTGAAACCTAGCCCATGTTTGACCATGGAGCTGGTAAAAGAGCTGTAGTCAAACCTACAGTTAAAAACAAAACTATTCGTACCCCACCTTTCATTCTTCCAAAAAAAACACAAAAAACTAAAATTTATAAGGGTATGAATAATTTTGTTGACTGTAGGTTTTGTCTTTCATGATCCTGACATTAAAGATTGTGTTTGAGTTTACAAAACATCTTTTACTCTCCTTCAGAATAAATTCACAACAAAGATAATGCTGTTGAAACCTTTTGGGACAAACTTTCTTTCTTTAGTATGATCAATCTCAAGCTGTAATCAGTGACATTAACAATAAAAAATGTAGCGATTTAAGGGTTAGTGGGTGTTGTAAAGCACTGCCGTCATTGTGTGAGGGGCCTGTTTAAACAATCATGACCAGCAATTTGTTGCTGTCTGTTTCCACATCTGTTAGCATACCAACTGGTGCAATGTTGTTACTCCGACCAACAGTGCGCCAGAGGTTGGAGACTGTCAAGGGCAGATCCAGAACCAAATTTTGGGGGGCAAATAATTGGATGTTTTGCATGTAACCCTCAGAAGGGTGGGGTAGGTGTGGGTTTCATTACAATTTTTTACATGTTTTGGAAGGTAAATTTTTGTAAAGGTAAAAAAATGGTGGCATCCCTACATGGAATTCTTCCAAAGAACCTTACAAAACTGACTTTCCAAGCACAGTAATACTTTCAGTTTAGCCTGGAAAAACTTCAGTTATTATTTGAGGAGGAGCTTTTGGGGCCATATTTCGAACATCTCGGATGTGAAACCCATTGTGGAAGCAGCCATTTTGAAAATGATCACGAATGATGTATTGTAATTTGTATGTTGAAAACTTTCCAAATCATTTACTCCAAAACACTTTTCAGAGTTAGTAATAGGGTTGTGCACAGGGTGTCAAGTGATGTCCATAAGTCCATGGAAGGCAGAATCCTCCGTGCATGGTGCCAGGATTGTATATTTGGGCACCCCCCCCCATTTTTTTGGTCAAATCTTGTAAAACTGGTCTACCTCCCCCCAAAAAAGACAATGCTCTCTTTAAATACTTTGACTATATTTTGGGGGAAATTTCGAATTGTAAATTGTGGGATAATGTGACTTTCTTAATTGATAAACCATGCAAATCTGACTCCACCATCATGACTTGTGTCATGTTAAACACTCAAGTCTCCCTTCATAATTTCCCTGGAAACGCTACCCTCTTTTCACATCAACAGTAGCCTGGAGCAGTCTAGACTACAGTTTTTATTGAGCATGATGTCATAGTTATCTGACATTTATAACAGTCAAAATGTAGGTCTCCCTTCTATTATTGGACCGGGGTCCGGTCCCTACCCCCTGAACTGTACGGTACGGGATCCGGGTCCCCAATAACAATCCCCATGGATGGTCTGATAGTGTGACCAGGTCATGACTAGGATCTCTTCAAATTTCCACTTTTAAAACCATAGTTATGATGTGTAAATGGTCGTGGCGTATTTGATAGCACCTGAATAAAATTCTTACCGCTCTCTCACGGAGTCACCGACTTCATTAATTCCAACAGGAATACCATCACCTCCACCGTGTACAGCGCAGCAGCTCAATACATGCATTGAGTCGGCTTGGGCGCCCTCTATAGTTCCCCCCTGCGTATAAATTTAATTACCTGGGAAGGCGCACGACAGGATGGAGTAGCCATAATCCGGTCCTGTCTCTGGCCTCTATCATATCCTGCGACTACGAATTTTGATCAACTAGAGGCAGCGGTGGGGCCGGGGCCGGGGAGCCGTCGCCAGTGTTCGAAACTTGACATGCGGTAGTCGAGTCCAATAATCAGCGCGGCCGCACGCACGGCATGTTGCCAACATACATGTAGATCGAGTGCAGTATAAACCGTTGAAAATATTTCGTGTTGGGGTTTCCTGAAGATTATACCTCCGATAAATATTTGCAATGGACGTCAGTAATGACACGCATGATAAAGCCAAAAGTGTAAAAGTGATATTGAACCATTTTATGCAACATCGTCATTAGAAGCCAGTATCGATCCTTGACATGTCACAACCTGACTTTTATCGACACCATTAAACCCCACTAAATTCTACACTACATTCGAATATCAACTGGATTTTCGGTTACGCAATAAATCGCCGTGATCACAGCGATTTTAAAGTTTGTGAATCTGGCATTAAAAATCGAAGCTAACGATCATCACGATGACCTTTACTTCAACGCTGGCTTCATAATTTTGTGTTACACATTCTTGTGAAAACCTCAGTTGCAAGATATACTGATTTGTTCAAAAGCGAGGAATTAAACGAATTTTCACTGCGGAAAAGGCTACATTTGATTACATAAGATCAATGGTCGTTTCCATCACAAAAGCTCACTGGTGTTCCAGTGTACAGGAAAACTAAGTTGAAGAAGGAAATGTGTGAAAGAGCTTCGCTCGTTACCCAGTCAACTTGGTGATGGCTATATTTGCACTGTTGCACACAACCTATCTGTGACCGCAAGGATATCACATCCTGTTAGCGATGGGTTATTTAAACTTTTTGATTCGCAAATGGCAATGTTTTGGCACAAAGAAAGTGTCAGCTATTATAATAAAACATGGCCTTGGTACAATCACAGTATGGTGATTTATCTTCTCACTGTGACGTGTCTTTTGGTGATATATTTCAAATCTTTGGTTATCTTGATCAATTTTGGATGAACGAATAGTGTCGCGAGAATGTTTTCAGCAATGAGAGAGAAAAGGAAAAGTATCAAATTGATAACCACTGCATGTGTAGTGCATTGATGAGTGAGCTTACGTAGAATTACGTTGAAACAAGTCAGACTTATTGCTATTCCCCAGTCAGCCATCCCTTGTACACAGTACACTGTCGTCACAGTCAAGCTGTATGCGCATCAACAATAGCATCAAGCATTGTGTATCCGTCAAAGTCGATACCGCAGCGATTTCGACAGCACAACAAATATGTATGTAATGTTAATGGAATCATTTTTTTGAGTCTGTGAAACTGAGACACATGATCACATCGCATATGCAATGCAGCCAAAAAATGTACATATGGAAAGGTGCCTTCAAATCTGCATTGCGCATAAACACACTGAGTAAGGCCTAATTTAAATATCCCAAATAGTGGCATATTTAAATGATACAAGATGGCAAGAACCAACATGGTGCTTCAAGATCATACCTGTGGGAATGAAGTTGGTGCAAGGCCATCAGCCTTCCCCAGCACCCCCTGTTCGGGTGCTGGATGATGAGCAAACTAAACAGCAAGCTTCCATCTACAACTGCTGTTATTCCAATGGAGCAAAAACCTTAATGTGTATACTGAAAGTAACAATGGTCATTGGTTATACCTTTGCAAAGTAATTGCTCATCCCTTGGGCTTTGAAGGTTTCTCCGGCTTGCATTACAATATATGTATCCACCGTATTGGAGCTGATTCCTCCCATGCTTGATTTTTAGTTTGCAGTTTAAGCATGGTTTCAAATAAGGGTGTCAATTAGTTAATTCTATGGTTCTCATTTCCGACCAACCCTTAATTTGGCCTGGACTGAGCAAAAACAACGTTTTTATGCGGCCAACCCTGTAACCAAATTTCCTATAATGAAAAAAAAGAGAGATACATGTACCCCCTTTCCCCTTCAATGACTCTCCCTCAACACAATAAGAAATACGAGAGTGGAAGTATTTCTGAGGCACCAGGCTACATTTGGGGGCTTCACACTTTGGGAAGAAAAACAGACCAAAAATAGCCTCTTTCATCATGAAAAAAAAGTTGTTTCCATGTTTTCTTTTTTTTTGTTGGAGAGGGGGAGCATGGCAAAAGAGCAGTTTGTAAATTATATTTGGGCAGAAACGGCATGACTACACCTTTCATTCATCAGAGGGTGCACGTGTAACTACCACAAAACAGTGAGTGATGGAAAAGAGCTGTGTACAGGTGTGAAATATAAATGTGCGAAGTGCACACGTGTGTGACTGTTATGGTTAAGTAAGCCACATGGATATTTTCAAATACAAGATTTCATACTGCTCTAGAGGGAAGCAGAGGGTTGAAAGTAGCCTGCACTCCTGTTCCCAACCCCCTTCACAAACTGTGAAAGACTCTTTTGTTGCTACATGTACAAGCAGGCCGGACATCAAAGAGATGCGACAAAAATTAGACTGCATCATAAAAATGGCTACAAAAGTAACGGGCCCAACAAAAATCATGGTGTACTTTATCGTATACTATTAATTAAAAATTATTCTACTATAAACTCCTTAAATTCAAGCACATATGCACACATGTACAAAGAATACAAGGTAATCTGTACAATACACAAAATATTTTAAATAAAGATACTGATGAGGAATAAAGTGACAATGAATATTTAATGAGTATTATTGTTTTTCCAACATGGCATTCTTGTCTGACATTTGCTGCTTTTAACATAGCTCTTAGCAAAACAGACCAGTAAAAGTAAAAAACCTGAAATGTAGGTGGTAGAATGCAGCACGTTCCTTGAAAGGGGGGTCACATTTAACCTTACCCATCACACACCACTCATCACAGTTTATAACTACCATCATGGAAGTGAGTCTGACAGAGATAAGACTCACACAGATCAAGTTTTTTTTTATTTCTACACTTTCATATAATTTAAACATTTAGCAAAGCTTACATATCACATAATATACAAATATTGATTGCCTCGAGAAAATAGAATGCTCCATGGATCACCTCCGGAGGCTAGTTTTATTGTGCAGCGAGATAAAGCAGTCAATATATGTTTTATAACACCTCCCAACAGATTCTGCAAAATTTAAGATAAAAATTAATAATGAAACACCAAACTGGAATTTACATTCATCAAATTAAATTCAAGAATTTAAAGCGGAACAGCAATGTTTAAATACATTCATTAACAGATGTTGTTCGCTACAAGCCGAAATACACGCTTATGCTTTCGATGCTACGGATATAGTTCTTTGCTTGCTATGGGTATAGTTCTTTTTCAGAATGAGGCTGCATGGTATAGTCTTTTTGAAGCAGTGGTATAAAAATAGTAAAACTAGCAAGCGTCACATGACACACTTTCGGCCAATCAATATATAGAATCTGTGGGTGAGGTGTTATAATAGGTTTTACTCCATACTTTTGGCAAATGTTTACAGAAGTCAGGGTAGAGGAGTCCAAAGCAAGGTATTTAAGTACATTTGAGGGTGGGCTTACAAAAAATGTCAATTTCGATTGTCTTTTTCTTTCTGCAGTTTTATTAATCTGCTTGGCTAGGAAGAAGATCAAGTCCTCTTTTTTTTTACTTGCCAACACTTGACTGAAAACTGCATGTATTTAACACAAAGGCAGAACTCATGCTCATGAAGTGAATGCTAATTAAACACATAAATGACCAGTTTGAGCCTTGGATAGTTAACGTTAAAGTTAAAAGTACAATGGCCTATTGGCAGTTTCTTCCAAACTACTACATGAAAAACAAATACACATAAGAGAATAATCTTGAATAGACCCATTAAGCATTTACACAATGCAATGCTTCCACCTACAAAGACTCACTGCTAGTTCCCCAAATATCTCTTCTTTTTATGTCCAGGGTACACTGCTACAATTAGGCATCTCCATGATAAAATTACTTCCAAAGCACAACACAAGGTCATAGAATAGCACATAGATCAATTATCAAGCTTATTAAACTATTCGAAATTGGTCCAGCATTGAGTATGCAAGGAACTGCTGTACACCATACATATTCATAATGGAGTCTTTGTACCATGGGGATAGTGTGGTTATGAACTCATTCCTTTAAGGAAGACATTCATACCGATACTAAACAGATTACTAAAATTTCAATTTCCTTCTGTGCCTTAAGACCGGGACTTCCTCAACTTGTACTCCTTGAACAGCTTGTACTCTACACTGGATTCAAATTCCTATGTTGAGACCGTGCCCATGGCCTAAGATTTGATACTAAATAGTTCATTCTTTCCATTGGACAAAATGATGTAACGTCTTGACCCTCATCGTAATGTTGTGCTACTGCAGCAGAGAGTCAATGGAATTTTCCATGCCGCCTTGTTTCCTGTAAAGAGAAGAGTCATTCACATTAGCAGGAGAAGGCTAATCCAAATCTAATTCATTTCCAAAATAGTCTGATAAGTATGTTATAGTTTGGTGAAGGCTGGAAATTCTTAGAAACTAAAGTTTCTTTCTTTTTGAGTAAGCAGCCAGCCAGGTCCAGTATTGCCAGTGGTTCATAAGTGAAAGGTTTTCAAGGCCACATCTAAGCCTTTTTCCCCATAACCGAAATATGATAAATATTAATGGGAAAGGACTGATGAATCCCCACTTTTCACAAAAAAAAACAAAAACAAAAACACGAATTGTACAAACATAACTATTTTGCAATAGACTTTTAACTTACCTCTAACATTTGCTTTGCTTTTCCAGCAAAATATGTGCAAAGATAAGAACTATAAGCACCATTTCAGAAGAGAAATTACATTGAACTGGGTCAAAAGGGTCTCTTTTACCATCGCATTTTTCAAAAAACTAAATGCATGAAAAGAAATTCCTTTTACCTTTATTTTCTTGGTTTTGATTTTTGTTGAGGATGACAGCTATGAGTTATGATATTACATAGAACCCCTTATGTCTCACGTCATGACAGTAAGGAACTATGTTCAGTTCCCATCATATTATAAATAGAACTTCAAACTGACCTTTTACCCGTTCTATGTCTACCAGATGCCGTCTTAGGCCGCCTGCTAGAGGTGGACTTCATCTTAGCAAATCCTCTCGCTGCTCCTTCAGCAGTGTAAGCTAGGTACACGTTGGACAAGTCTGGCTCACCATAATCCTTGCCCTTATTTTTGTCTGGAATGGGTGTCTGTTTACGCATGTTGTTTCCAGTATAGGCTACACATTTCTGTGGGATCAATATGTACAGGGTTGGCAATTTATAACTGAGTTTGATACGTTGTCATGGAGGCAATCATGTGACATTTGCTTAGGCTTGTGATGGCATAAAAATCTGTTCTTTTGAACGATAGCTATGGTTCACATCATCAGAACAATGCAGATACTACTATCAGGGATATTTAACACAAAACGTATAACATACCAGTTGCCATTCACCAATGTCCTCATTCCAGTTCACATACTGCTCTATCATTTGTTGGAACTCTACAGGGATAAAGCTGTCGATGATCAGCATCTGTAAACGCAGCTCTCTGCTCAGTTGACGTATGTTTTCTAACAGTCCTTCCATTTCTCGTTGGTGTTCCTGCTGCATATCAGCAACCTGCAGCCACAACCAAAGTTTTTAAAATGTTTTCAGTCCATGGAACATATACATGTAGTTTATGAATGTTGAAGGGATGATCACTTGCCAATGTAAGGTATTATACATTGTGAAACAACATAGGAGGAAGGCACAGGTCCTACAATACATAATTAAGGTCACTATAAGGTAACTTGAGGCTATGGCTTGGATTTTAACATTAACCCTAACACTCCTCAGTCCTCCAACAGGTGAAGGATTGAGGAGGGTTAGGGTTATTCAGCAACAGCCAACAGCCAGATGACTTAGTACAACAAGCTTGGCCCTGTTTGTGTAGTTGAATACCTGCTCTGCTATTTAGTCCTTTGTCTTTAACCTATAACACAAGCATTTATGTCTTGGGTCAGGATTAGAAAAGATTAGATTTCAAAATGTTGGCTTTCCCTCCCTCAGGCTTTGTCTGACAGTCTGATGCTCCAGTAATAAAACATGATTTTTATTGAGCTGAGAACTTCACAATCAAGGCCAATAAGGCAAATGGGAGACGGATATAAAGCTGTGATTTGGAAAGCTTCACAACATTAATTACATCATATCATTTGTAATTCTACGAAATTTCCCCATTCTATTAATCCTTTCTAATATAATTCAATTTATTTTGTTCAAATTAACTAACTGATTTACATTGTTGATTTTATCATGATTTAAATCACTCAAATAATAAAAAGGCATTCAAAAAATCACACTCTGAAAACTAAAAAACATTTTGGAGTACGTTTGACAGAAAGAATTGGCTGAATTTATCAGCTCTTCAAACACATTTCCACATAAATAGATTTGGCTTAATTTGGGTAAAAATCACATACTCTCTATTACATGTACTCAACGGGGTTCATTGACAAGATGGCCATATTGGATTGTACTCCTTGAATCCATTTCACTCATTGAACACTATGAAATGGGCAAAGGCCGAGTATTTTGCTACAATTGCAGGTATAGCCTTGTTTTGATTTTGTTTAAAATGAACTTGACATGACTTTTTATCCATAATTCAGAATGACCCACTGAAAGACACAAAGATGGCATTGCCCCTTCTGCATCATCTTCATTCCCACACCGTTTTTAGACAATTTATAAAGGGAAGTTTACGATTACCTAATGTTATACCAGCGTCATGCATACATGCATGACTTCACATGGATATTGATTTGCATAAGAGTGGACATTGATTGACACTTCGTCAATATCCTGAAGGACTCTCATAATTTGTGTTTTCAGCCTTTAAAAATGGCAGCTGAAAAGGCCAGGGCACTTGAATATTCAAATCGTAATTCTTTACATAAAATTTGTAAAAGATGTGTGGCTGAAAACAAGAATCAATATGGCTACAGAAAGCAAAGTAGAAATGCTCGGAAAAAGTGGATGTTGGACAACGGACCTTATGCGTATAACATCACGTTAGAGGGTATTTCTTTCTCCCTCTGGGATGGGTTCGAGTAAACCTTCCGTGCATTCATTGTAAGGACATTAGAATAAAGAAATCTGACGATGCCTTAACACATAGGGTTTATATGGAAGACTTGTAGGAGAGAATTTCAAGGACTAGTCAATAGACTTAAACATTTCGCAGCATGTCAGAAGACACACTTACACATAGTTTACAATGGGTCCTTTCACAGTGTTCCATGATGAGATATGTTTTAAATTATTGAATGAGGATTACATTTGAGGACCAAAACCTTTAGAGGTACTTATACAAAGATCCAAATATAAAAATTAAGAACAATCAGATTTAGATAAAGGAAATCTAATTGAATTTTTTAAAAACAAATGTTTCATTTAAAAAAAATTGTGACTATTAACAATCCTGCCTAATAACCTGGGAGTCTGCAAATGGAGATACTGTTAACCCCTTCGCTATGGAGGACTGCTACCCCGCACCATTGTGTGAGGATTAGTGCATACCACACATACTGGGTACAGTCTATTCACCATGCAGCTGCTGGTTCAACGGGGCCTGCTGCTGGACAAAGCCCTCCATTCAGGGCATGCCACAGGCCAGCAGTCGAGGTCAAAATAATCCCACCCTGACTGGGGTTAAGTGACTTCAGATCTAAGATGTAATTATTTTTCTTCATGTTGATTTGGGCAATCAGTGGTGTTTCATGTACCACTTTTATTCAGAATTCTTTATTCATTAGATCATACCTAGGGGTAGAAAGTTCAAAAGTTGGGATTTTAACTTTCCCATCCAAGGAATAAGAGGCTAACAACCTTTTGAGGGAAAGAAAGGCACATTAGTCAGTTGCACGAGTTCAAGGCAATTAGTAAGAAGTCCTTGACAACAAAGGATGTTTTTCTTATGACAGGCTTCTTAAGTATATCTTACCTCACTTTTTGCACTCATGAGCATACTCCAGACTTTCTTGAGTTTTTTTGTCTTTCCTACAGCTTCCTCTTGAAGATTACCAAACTTTTCTTCAATATCCACCCGCTCCGCCTCCTTCTCAGCCAATTCTTGGCGCAAACTCTCCTGCTTTCTGGTCCGCTCCTCCAGTTCACGTGCTGATTCCTCCAACAGCCGTTCTTGCTCTTCAGATTTCTTTAACAGATCAACACCACCGACGATGACTTTCTTCTCCACAGCTTTCAGCTTCTCTTTGAGTAAGTCATGCTCATGTCTGCCAATATAAAGTCCATTAAAATTCACTGAAGACCAATTTAAAAACACCACTTGGGAAAGATTCTATTGTTGCATTTTTAAAACACGGCTGACTTTTCTTCACTTTTACCTTCATTCTGCACAAGATGATGTGGTGTTGAATAATATGTGAAGGAGGGGACTTGTGTAAAGGGTTGAAAAGCATATAAATAATGAGTTCAAACAACATACATGCATAGTGGTGCTGTCCTGGTGTCAAATGGGAACCCACTCAGGCACATGCTAGTATATTATCGACCACTTTGGTACCTGCTGGTCCTCTGGTTTAGAATTTTTTCATTCGTTTTTCTTTGTTTAACTTTTGTGTGTGTAATATTTCAAAAGCTTTTTCTATACATATTGTATTTCTTGATTCTGTACCACTATGAAACCTGATTCCATTGTTCACAGTGACAATAACAACTGAGTCTACTGATCCATTAAAGACATGAAGAGTCGGGTGACTAGCTTCATGTGTTGGACCTTCATGTCCACCGCCCCTTACCTACTGCAGCCAGTGAAAATTCATTACAGTAAGCCCTAACAATTCATGAGCCAAGAACCCATGACATGCTCCCAAATTCTCTGTACAAATGGGATTTCTCAAATGTTAAGTAATACAATCTTAACCAGTGAGTCATTTCAAATCCTAGCACATACTCCACTTCTCTTGTTGTCATAGCTACTCACTGTGCCTTGTGCAGTTCGTCTTCTCTCCGCTCCAGCTCTTGTTGCACTTTGTTTCTTTCTTCTTCCTCCATGTCTTTCTTTTCTTCCAATGCACGTCTCTCCTCATCAATGCGTTTCTGCATTGCAGCCATTTTCTCCGGGGATAAATTCCGCTTTCCTGAAAAAGGACACATTTACTATGGTCTAGAACTATTTTTTACAACATATGCAGATGATGGAAAATTTCTCAAGCTCTGGCTTGGACAGAATGCATTACAATTTCAAATAAAACAAAAATGATAATTTATACTTTTAACCAATTTTACTGTAACTCATGATACATTTCTACATGTATGTAATGAGGCAAGTCTGACCTCTCATTGCTTGAGCAGTCTTTTCTCAAACCAAATCAAGCCAGCCATACTCAAAAAATGGAAAGACAAATTTAACCTACTCATTTACTTTCAGAAAACAAGTGAGTTTGGTCATTACTTATGTAACCAAAAACTAGAAAATTTGTCTGCATCTTTGTTGAAATTCCTCAAACTGTAGTCTACAAACAGAAGCAACATTCTTCCTTTTACATAGTTTATGGTTGTATTGCATAAGTTATAACTTCCCTTTACATAACTTATGAGAAACAAAAGCCTCTTTGGGAATAAAGTCTTTAAATAGAAGATGCACTGAGGTCTGTGTGCCATACCCCTCTTCCTTCTGGTGTGTCTTTCCCCGCTTCCTCCTTCCCCTTCTTCTGCAGATCCAGACTCCTCCTCAGAACCAGTTTCACCCTCGGAACCCCCTCCTTCTCCTAGACAGTAAAAGTAAAGAACGACATACTTGAATGAAATACAAAGTCAATGGTAACCATGAAATCATCCATTACAGGTTGAAAAACTTGCAACTGATTTTAAAATGGTTGCTAACTTTAATTGACTTACTCTGTATGTAAATTTATGACATATATTTTGTTGACCAACACACTGTTTTAAGGAACCGCAGTCAGTCACAGCTATACAATGTTTAAACTGAGGATAATCACTAGCGGCCAAACTTGGTGAAAATATTGTGGTGGAGGAACACCTTGGTTAGCTCCCATTTGTTAAAAAAAAGGCACTGAAAGAACACCGACTACTGCTTGTACATATAGCTTTGTTCTTTACTACTTCAAATGGGGGCCATTGGGGGCACATACCTCTGCTGTGAGCCATGGTCCGCCCTTCATTAAGCCATTGAATTATCGCAAGTTTTACAATGGCTATTTCAAGCCGAATTTCACACACTTCACTTCAAAAATCATTGAAGACAATTTAATCTAATTTCTTCAGTCAACACATATTTTATGCCACTGTATGTATGAATGTTAAACTAAAAATAAATCAAAAAATATGGGTACAAACAATGCGGTTCATGCACATGAGAACCATTGTCAGTACAAATATAGTACATGCTCCTGTGTGATACATTTCATTTCAAGGCTTTTGGTAACAAAATGTTACAGCACTGTCAATGTAGGTTCAACAGAGCAAACAAATTGAATAATCTGAAGCCATTATGGCAACAGTACCAGACTCGCACACATGTATGTTTTCTTAATACCAATTGTGGCTAGTCACAACACACTACAGTGGAACGCTGCTATACCGAACACTGCTATACCGAACACTGCTATACCGAACATCGTCCTTGGCTCCCAATAATTTGTGCACAGAACCTACCAAACACTATTCAGTTGCCGTTTGTAATTCTCGAACGTTAACATGATAAAACAGTCGTTGTTTTTTTTATGCTGGAAAGTGACAAGTGGCCATTATTTCCCAAAAGATAAGAAGGGAAAGCCACTAGTTGTCAACGGTATTGAATAGACACTGGTTTTGCGACTCCACATGATCGGGTGCGGAAGAAAACTGCACGTACGCACACAGTGGCATTTCACTAACAATAGTCTAAAGAGGGCGCCGCTGATACACAAATGAACCGAGATTCGCCACAACATGCATCAGAGATCGATCCTGAGCGGTATTTTCACAACTTTTATGATTAGCTTCAAATAATTCCATTACATAAACCATGTTACCTCTCTCAAGCTGTTTCTTAAGTTCTTCAATTTCCTTCTGGAATTGACGCAACAAAGCATCCTTGGGATCTTCATTAATGCGAGCATTGTTCTTGATGTTCTTAGCTCGGTTAGCATAGCGTAGTGTGCTGATTGTCTCATCATAGTTATACTCTGCTGGTCCAATGTTAGCACACTGAGTAGAGAAATGACAACAGACATCTTTCTGTATTAAATACAAATTTAACCTGTTGAAAACAAATTTAAAGGGGTATATTTAAATGTGCATTTTAGGCCTATGGCAGTCACTGCCGCTTTAGTAGTCCAAAGATAGGTGAGCCTCTAGACTTGACCAAGTTGGAATACTCTGTGATGGTGTCTGTGTTTATGCTTTGGATATGGAGGCTGAGCAGTGTTACTTGCTTCGCACCCTCTTCTGTCCAATTATTACTGGGAGTTCAAAAATCCTGACTTGATGAATCTGCCAACCATTTGAACACAGCAAATCCGCTCATCTACCAAAAGTGATATCAGCCAATCAAACTCCCAGACTTGTTTTTACATTGTTTATACCTGCATTATAATGAATTAGTTTAAGAGTTTTACTGCTTTGGTAAGTGAAAATTTCAAGTCTGACTACTTTGATTGGTGGAAAGTCAATATGAACATTATGCAAGATCGTGTCATTCATATGCAATTATGAATAAGTACTTGTACATGTCACCGAGGGGGGTCCAATTGGCTTAACTATCAAGTCAGACTTACTGACTGGTGATGTACATGTATGACACACGTTGTACAATAAAGGCTATCATATTAGGGCGCCTTGAATAAGAGTTATGCGATGGCTCCATCAGCCCGAGCATGACTATTGAGTATTGCGTACAGGCGTGTGAAGGGATGGTTGATTTGGGGAGAGCAAGGAAGTCCGACTTGATTCAAGTCTAGTGAGCCTTCTGTATAATGTACATTATAAAGGGCCTGGTAAATATAAACCAGTTTCTAATGCACACAAAATTATCTATCTTTTATTTTCAAAATTTAGTTCGCAAGGACTGAAATCTGAAACCAGTCCTCAGGGTACCTCTGATCTACATGTATACATTTATCCAAACAGGTGTTGTAAAAGTCAACCATGTCTCATGACACAGTCTGACTTCAGGTTATGCAGAAATTCTGAAAATTCTTACCATAACAGTCTTGGCATTACCACCCAGAGAATCTTGCAGCAACCTTGTCAATTTGGAGTTTCGATAGGGTATGTGTGTACTTTTGCCATCTACAAGGGAAGAAATTACATTGCCTAATGTAGAGAGAGACAAATTGATTTTGGTTGCTTCTTTTAGCCGTTGGCCTGTCGCTCCAGTTTTGGACTGACGCTCCGATCCCTAAATAACAGAGACAAACAAGAATTCAGTGCAACTATTTATTACCAAACAGTTAGTGTATGGCTTAATATCTTGAGATAAAAAGTCAACCATATGTGGTAATCACAGAAATCTAGATACTTAACATGGCATACCACTATATCACCAAGCATGCAAAAAAAAAGACATGAATTAATTTAAAACTCCACAACTGATAAATTTGCATGTATGTGAAACTTTTGAACCATTACTGCAGATCTTAAGTGCGTACTATCAACTAATACTAGCAATACATCATATTATACAAAGAACAAAAGAGACAAAAACATTACCTGCACAAAAGAAACATGGAGTCTTAAAAAAAAATACATTCAATGGCTATCTACTAAATTTATCATGTTGTGTTGCACAAAGTGTTTTAAATCATTATTCAATAATCAAATATTAAAAGAATATTCTTGAGGTTTACTTGAACTTACAGCTAGGTCCACCATATGAAGCTTGCCTGCTCTGACATGTTGCTGTTTATCTGGTCCAATGTCACTCCTCTCAACTGTAATGCTGAAGATAGCATGTGAGCGTGAACTATGTTCATTCATGTTGGTTGCCCCAACTGAGCCTGCAATACAAGTAGTATCTACAAGTCAGTCTGGCATGCCATCTCTGTTGGGTTGCACTTTGTGCTTCTGTGTACTGTGTGATACTCAAGCTTATACGGCTCTTTGCACAGTACACATTGGGTTTGCTTGACAGCCATGTGTGCATAACTTTGGTCAACAGACGAGGTAAGATATGCCAAAGTGTATTTTGGTCGCAACCTTGTGTCCCCCTCTCTCCATAAGTTTTAAGACAATGATGAACAGTAGTCATTTTGCTCCGGGCATTTTTTACATTTTTAGACATATGGTACAAAATCTGAAATTTTGCTTTTAAGTATGACAGTTCTACAAGGCTTCCAAATGTATGTGATATAAGTCAACAGTGAAAGAGGGATTATTAACTGCAAAATAGTGGGTACAAAGATCTGAACCATGCTATAAATAGTGGCCTCTCCACAACTAATTTGAATAGATTAGTGAATTCCCCTATTTCCCTAGCTCAAGCTGCAATACTCTACCTTATCATTTAACTTGATTCTTGTACACTTACTCATCTTACTGTTCTTGTTACTTACGATGGCTATTGCCAAGAGTGGTTATTCTGTCCATGTCATCTGCATTGTTGACAACAAACGCTGACAAATCTTTCACATACACTCCAATATCTGGACGTTCTTTCACCTGATCATAATAAACCATAAGCAGCTTTGGTGAGGCTGGATGACTAGTAGTTTTCCCCTGTGATGTCCATTTTTTTTTCACAGCTTCCCTTCACTGAGGTCCAATAAGTGTTTGTTCATGTTGAACTTATACAGGACAGTTATTTACATCCCAGCCAATGAGAAGCTTTGCTTGTCTTGATCCACTCCACCATGATTGCCTACTGCCTTACTTTTATTACCCAAATTAATCACAGCTTGTATTAACCCTCCTTCTGTTTTAATCATCAAAAACAGTCAAAAATGCCTTCCAATTGATTTCCCCCAGTACACAGACACGTATGGGAAATTTGACTGATATGACAACTGTGTCAAGAATGCATCTTAGCATAGGAGGGTTAATTAATCATGATTACACTGCAAGAGAATTCCAACTCATTGATTGGGGCAAACACAATTCTAAATGGCAGGGGAATAAAATGGAAATGTTTGTGGTGGTCATCATGAACACGTGTGGAACACAACTAAAACTTAGATTAAAATGTTTTGAGAACATTTGTCAACTATTTTCCTATCAGTAAAAGTAAACACAAACTCTGTTTCTTTTCAAGTCCATCACTGGAGATGTATTTCCTTATCTCAGACAATTACATTTGAAAATAAAATGAAAGACTTTCGATCAATAACATGACATGTATTACAAATTTTGCATATGAGGAAAGTTTTGTACTTAAACCAAAACATGGGTCAGCCACACTTCATTGGTAAGTAGGTCACTCTACTCTGTATCAAACAGTTTGTAACAGTTTGCTTTGTTTTGTCATAAAAAGGAATGTAATGAAAATAAATGTGCATATACAAATCTTTTAATTGGAATTTCTGATGGGCTCCGCCGAGGCGACACGTATCCCAAATAAGTGCCCTCTCTGTCATTGATATTCATCCTGGTATTTAGTTGTCAAATCTTGCTCATTTTGGGCTTCAATTTCCTCTTATCTGAGATACATGTACAGTACCCGAAGGTCTTCACAAGTATGTATCCTTAAGCCTTTGTAATCTTATATCATTTCTATATTA